ACATACTACTATTAAATGTTTTATAAGTTTTCTTGTGATCTCATTGACTTGTGGGTGGTTAAAAGTACATTGTTTCAGCCGGGCGTGGTGGTGCATGCCTTTAGTCCCAGCACTTGGGAGGCAGAGGCGGGCGGATCTCTGTGAGTTCAAGGCCAGCCTGATTTACAGAGCAAGTTCCAGGCCAGCTGGTGCTACGGGGAGACCCTGTCTCAAAATAGACCAAAAAAAAAAAACAAAACATAAAAATAAATAAAAGTACATTGTTTCATCTCCAAACATTTGGAACTTTTCTGGATATCTTATTGTTACAAGATATCAGCTTCTGAACTGTACTTGGACTTAGGACACATTGTATGATCTATCTTGGCAAATAACTCACATGCACTTGAAAAGACTGTATTCTGGGGTTCTCCAGTGTATTTTTCTTTTCTTGTTTTTTTTTTTTTTTTGAGACAGGGCCTCCCTGTAGCCCCAACTGGCCTGGAACTCGCTATGTAGACCAGGCTGGCCTCGAACTCGATCGGCCTGCCTCTGCCTCCTGAGTGCTGGAATCAGAGGTGTGCACCACCACACCCAGCTTTTTTGTATTTTTGAGAAAGGGTCTTCCTGTAGTTCCAGCTGGCCTAGAACTTGCTGGGATTAAAGGTGTGCACCACCATGCCTGCCTCTCAAGTGTATTTTCTATCAATATCAATTATCAATATCAATTATGCCAACATAGTTGACACTGTTGCTCAAGTCTTCCACTTTTTTTTTTTTTTGGTCTTTTTGAGACAGGGTCTCCCTGTAGCCCCAGCTGTCCTGGAACTCACTAGGTAGACCAGGCTGGTCTTGAACTCACAGAGATCCACCTGCCTCTGCCTCCCTAGTTCTGGGATTAAAGGCGTGTGCCACCACGCCCGGCGTCTTCCACATCTTTACCCAATAAGTTTTCTTTTTATTTTTTTCTATTTATTATTATGTGTGTGTGTGTGTGTGTGTGTGTGTGTGTGTGTGTGCATGTGTGTGTGTGCACGTGCGGGCTCGCAGGTGTGCACGTGCCATGGCCCATGTGTGTAGAAGTCAGAGGACAGCTTTCAGGAATTGGTTCCTTCCACCATGGGATCTGTGGATTGAACTCAGGTAGTCAGTCAAATCCATCAGATTTGCTCAGTAAGTGCTTTTACCTGCTAAGACATCTTGATGCCAGCACAACTTTTTTTTTCCTGTGCAGGAGATTAAATTTAGGGCCTCACACATGCTAGGCAAAGGCATTACCACCAGGCTATACCTGCAACCCCCATTTTTTTTTGTTAAAGTCTTGCTAATTATTGGGAGAGGGATGTTAAAATCTCCAATTATCCAGTCACAAAAGACCATATTTGAGGCTGGGAATGGTGGCTCAAGCCTGTAATACCAGTCCTGGGATGTTTAAGTCAGAAGGATCACCACAAGTTTGAAGCCTGGTTGAGCTACATAGTGAGTTTGAGGGCAGCCTGGGGCTACAGAATAAGATTTTATAAATAATAGGATAAATAAATAAATAAATTCCATGATTTCATTTATATGGAATGTCTAGGATATGCAAATATGTAGAAGCATATCTTTCAAGGCTTTTTAAAAAATATTTATTAATTTTATGTGTATGAGTGTATTCCCTGCATGTATAAGTACACCTGTGTCATGCAATGCCCATGGAGGTCAGAAGAGGACACTGGATCCCCTGGAACTGGGGTTACAGACAGTTCTTAGCTGCCATGTGGGTGCTGGAAATGGAACCCGGGTCCTCTGAAAGAAAGCAACCAGTGCTCTTAACCACTGATCCATCTCTCCAGCCCCCAACACTTGGTTTTAAGTTGGTACATATATGTGTTTGTGTGTATGTTTATGACTTCCTTAACCTATTTAAGTATATCCTTAACCTATTTTTGTCTACTTAATCCTACAACACTTTACACTTCCCACTTGACACATCCCATTCTCTATTTCACACCAGATACTTCCAATTCACGAATAATATTAATTCATAATAGCAGAATTCCATTTTCTTACCCCCTCATTTCTAGGGCTATTGTCAGAAGTCTTGCATGTGTTATAGAGTACAACTTACAGTGTTATTTATTTATTTTTTGGTCTTTTTGAGACAGGGTCTCCTTGTGGCCCCAGCTGTCCTGGAACTCACTATGTAGACCAGGCTGGCCTTGAACTCACAGAGACCTGCCTGCCTCTGCCTCCCAAGTGCTGGGATTAAAGGCATGTGCCACCACAGCCAGCATACAGTGTTATTTTTAAGTAGTCGTTTTTTCAGTAAATCACAGCAAGGGACAAAGGATCTGATGCCTATCCATTTCTAAACTTTGTTAGAGGAGGGCTTTCTCCAAATTATAGCCTTCAACCTAAGCACAGCATCACTGGAGTTTCACATCGATGCCTGGGGTATTAAATTTTTGTCCATTTTGTCTGGACCAGACCTCCAACATCTTTCTCAATTGTTCAACTTCCAGAATCTTTTTATCTGTTTCCAGTTGTATAGCAGTTGTTCTTTGGTAGACCTCACAGTGCCTCAGCTTGCGCATGCCAGTAGGGTTGTTAGGCCAGGGCTTGCAGTGAGCTCTCATACAAACTTATGGGCATGCCCTTCAGTGTAGTCCTCTTCTCTGGGATATACCACTGTTCCAGTGATTCCAGCTGCTTCAACATTCCTAAACTCTGACCTCTGCCACCTCAGCTCAGCAGGACTCTGCGCTCTGCTTTTGGTCTACTTCCCTGCACAGCAGCCATTGGAGTTATGCATATCCAAGTCAAGAGCTGGGGAGGTGGTGGGAACACCTGTCAACTCCCCTTCTGTGATGACTGTATTTCCCTAAGTCCTCCCCTTGACCCTGGATAGGGTTGGAGAATGCTATCTAGCCAATGGAGTTCAGCAGAAGTGATGCTAAGCAATTTCCAAGTCTAGGTCATATAAAAAACAATATAACTCATTCATATTCAAATCCTTTCTGTTCTCCCTCCCTCTCTGCATCCCTCTCCTTATCCTCAGGACCTAACCACCATGCTGTGAGGAAACCCAAAACTAGTATACAAGGGGAGATCACGTGGATAGGCCCACATGGAGAAGAACTGAAGTCCTCAGCTGACAGCCAGAGAGATATATGAAAGAACAGCTCCAGACACTGGAGCAGACAAGCTACCGTGATGTGCCCTATCTAAATTCTGATCCACAGTATTTGTGAACTTACAAAAGGTTGTTTTATTTCATCTAGTTTTGGAGGGTAAATTTGTTTGTTTTTGAGACTGAGCCTCAAAAACAGACTGGATTCAAACTCACTAGGTAGCCATTGATGACCTTGAGCTTCTGATCCTTCTGCTTAGACTCCCAAATTCTGGGATTATAGGCATGTACCACCATGCCTGACTTTATGAGGGATAAATTTTAATGTAGCAATAGTCACTGCAACACCATCTCTGAGAAACTGCAGCTCTGTGCTTCCTGTTCTTCAGTGTTGAAAATAACTGCCTTACATATTTTGCCCTGTGTTGTTATTGTTGGAGAGCTAGGCTCCAATCAGGACTTTAATCTGAAGCTCAGTTCTCTGAGATAGTGATATAGACAATTATAACATGAACAGCACCTAGAACAGCTTCCTTTCTATGTTCTAGGTACTAGGCTGAGCACTTTAAATACATTATCTCAACGAAACTATACAACAGTCTTATGAAATAGGCATTATGAATCCACAGGGATTAAACTTACCCTGGTTTACATACAGGTCTGAAAGCCCATGCAATTAACCATTCACAGAAACACAAACAGACACACATACATACAACTGTATATATCTGCATGTATTCATGTATAGGCATAGAGAGATACACACCACTACACATTTCCAGAGACTGAATGCTTTTAAAACATTACTTATGCTCAGTTAAAATCCCCCTCCCCCAATTTATGTTAACTAGATTGAAAGGGACTCAGTCTGCTAGATATTAAATTTCCCAAGCCTACCCCGAAATTCTCTCCATCTGGGGCCACCACAGGCATGGGCAGCAGAGATATTGTCTCTGTTCCCCTGCCAAGGATTGCCTGGGGCTGCACTAGGGGGAGGTGGGGGAGACTTTTAGTAAGACTTGGCTGTGTAGACAGAAGCCTTCTCTTGGGACCTCAAGACTCTGCACTTGGTGTTGTAAGAGTCTAAATTCAGAGGGACAAGTCAATCCTTATATGAAAAAGTGGAAAGAGCTGAGTAGGCGGAGACTGTTTATTTGCTAGGGGAGGGTTGACAGAGTTGGAGAGAGGACTGGTTTTAAGACAAGGTCGTTCTCTTATTCCCAAAGCAGTGACCGGAGCTGGTAGATGAAAGAAGCAGTTTCAAAGCAGGAATGAAGCTTTAGAGGAGCAAGTCCCAGGACCGAAGCTGGGCTCACAAATTGAAATTTTACAACTCTTACAACACTGGAGAGCTAGGTCCTATTCTTGAGAGGAAAAAGCGAAGGGGATGCTTCTTTGCGGAAAAAAGAAATGGAATTGTTACGTTATAACAATCACTTTTTATCTGGAAAACAGATCCCTCACACCGATCCCTATCCCACCTCACAAAAACTCCCCCGTGCACCCTGCACCAAGCAGTTAGGTCCACTGTAGGAAAGTGAACTGTTTGAGGCTCATCTCTGCCTCGCTGCCTCCTTTTGAACAGCCCTGAAGCACTGTTTAAAACTGCCTATAAGCACCTCTGTAGAGTATCCTACGCTTACCCACTTGGTAGACGAAAGCTGGTTTAAAAGGCTTGCCCTCACTAGGCAGGACAACGCAAGCCAGGACGCCAGGGTGGCTTCCGAGTCCCAGCCAGTCGGCAGCACCCTCTGCACCGCACCCACCCGGCGGGCACGTCCGATGGGCGAGCGTCGTCTCCCCGGCTCAGCGGGGAGCTATCCCGCTCAGCTGTAACGCTGGGTCTGGAGCCCGCGGAACTACCCCCGCCCCCCCACGCCCCCCGGACCAGCCTGGGGCGCCCGCATACCTCCGCCTCCAGGCTCAGCTCCGGGTCCTGGCGCTGGGCGGACTGGGCATCCAGGCAGCAGCACAGCAGGAGCGGCAGGGCGCGTAGCAGGAGGCGGATGCCCGCCACCATCCCGGCGCTGGGGCCCGGGGCGCGGAGACGCGCTAGCAGTCAGCTGCGCCCCACCCGCGGGGTGCCAGCTCTCCGCTGCCCACGCGGACGGGGAGGTCCAGCACCGCGCTGCCTGCCCGTCCGGAGGACCGTGGAGGAGGAGGGTCGGAGGCCGGAGGACCGTGGAGGAGAAGGAGGAGGAGGAGGAGGAGGGCCGGGTGCCCGGCTGCCGCCCCACCCACCAGCCCCGCCGCTGAGCGCCCGCGGTCCCCAGCCTCTTCCGCCCTGTGCCGCCTCGTACCGCCGCCCTTCACCTCCAGCGGATCCCGATCTCTCCAGGAGGGCGGGGGCGGGGGGCAGACTGATCTCCTGATAGTATTGGTTACTTAAGACTTCCATGAAGAGCGGTCCTGGCCTACCTGAAACTGGTGGTTTCAGTCAGGTGCACGCGAGGAGCCCCGGACTCCGGTGTTACTAGTACTTGGAGTTTGAAATGGCGTCTTTGGTAGTGCAGTGGATCCTGCCCCAGCCACCTGCTTGCTGGCTGTGTGGTCTTGGGCAAGTAATATTCCCTGAACCTTTTCTCAAGAGGAAATAGAGATAATAAGAATACATATCGTACTCGGCGTGGTGGCGCACGCCTGTAGTCCCAGCACTTGGGAGGCAGAGGCAGGCAGATCCTGTGAGTTCAAGGCCAGCCTGGTCTACATAGTGAGTTCCAGGATAGCTCGGACTACGAGGAGACCCTGTCTCAAAAAGACCAAAAAAAAAAAAAAAAAAAGAATGCATATCGTGTGATTCTTGGGAAAATTTAATGTCTGTAAATAAGTGAGCCTGACTCCTGGCACCATGCAGTGCATGATAAATGGCAGGCGGCAGCTGCACCTCCTTTGGCAAAGGATTTTCTTTCAAGTGTCATTTTCCTCATCAATGAAAGGAGAGTATATGATATTTAGTTCCCAGAATAGCATGGAAATGAAAAGAATTCGAATGTAAAGGCCTTGTATAGCCCATATAGTTGTTAAAAGAATGCAATGAAAAGACTTCCCTGAAAGTCTGCTGAACTCATGCTGAGCAAAAGTGAACTCTTTATTTGCCTACCTTTGAAAGTGAGAGCAGGTTTCTATCTCAGTCCACTCATCTGTAAAATGCAAACGGAACCACAACACCCTGAACTCTGAGGGTCCTTCTGAGATTAGAGGAGGGTTGTAAAAGTGTTAAGTGTTATACAAAAGTGATGGTGTGTTATAACCCTGAGGCTCAGGGCCTTGGTTGCATTCAAAATGTGCTATTCGAAAAGTACACCACTGGGGTAGAGAAATTGGAAAAGGTTCTTTGAATAGACATCTTATAAACAGGGATTCTCTCGGTGGCACTAATTAGAAACAGCAACCTCTCCCCTCTTACCCTTCAACCAGCCAATGAAAAAGGCACCCATCTCTGGGGAGACCAATTAGAAACAAGCACCTCTGCGCAGACCAATGAGAAAAAGGCACTCTTCCTTAGGGCAGACGATCCCCCTGCCAGGGATCTGCAAGGGAGGACAGAGTTGAGGATAGATTTCTTTGCCTAACCATGGGGCTGGGTGGCAGGCAACCTCAGAGCTGGTACTTGAGGCTTGAAGTTTGCCCCCAGAGAGCTTTCATTCTACCTGGGTGGACTAGAAGTGAAAGCTCTCAGTTAACGGCAAAACAGACTATGAAAGTGCTGCTGTTCAAGCAAAAGTCCTATGGCCGCCCAGGGAGCAAAAATCTGAAGGGCAGTGGAAGAGAATTGCTAGAGTTAGCAAGTAAAAACTTAAGACCACCAGTTAACCTCAACTTATATTAATAACAGATAATCATCTAATATCAGTGGGTACAATGTAATATTTGGAGCAAACATACTAAAAAATGATTACTCTGGATGAAGTTCAACTGGGCATCTTGTATTTTACCTGGCAACTCCAGGGTGTATGTATGTATGTTACTAGTATGACAATGGTATATGGTAGACTTGACTAATGTGTGGTTTTTGACAAGCCAGAAAGCACTATTTTGGATCAGGTGCTTTGAGAAGCATCAGTTAGTAAGGGACACCCATCTGGAAGTAGACTCCAAGCTAGAGTCCAATCTGGGCTTGCCAATTCTTTGTCCACGAAGAATTTCTCCATTTCTTTCCCCCCGCACATTGAAGAGTTTCTCCATTTTAGCTGCACTGGTAAGAGGAGGAGCAGGAGGGGTGGGTCTCTGGGTACCTGGGCATCTGGGAGAATGCAGGCTCAGCCTCCCAGATAGCTGATCTTACTTTTTTCTGTATCCCAGGTTAATCTTTTTCCTGGACCTTTAAAACCAGTACCACTGCTGTATCTGAGAGTTGTCTGTTCTGCTTTACTTTGTCTCCTTGGTTGTGCTTTTAGAAAAAGACACATTAGGGGCTGGAGAGATGGTCAGTGGTGAAGAGTGCTTGCTGCTTTTGCCAAGGACAGGAGTTCACTCCCGGCACCCATGACTGGTGGTGCTTACAACCACCTGTAACTGCAGCTCCAGGGGATCTGACACATTCATCTGGCCTCCATAGGCACCTGTGCTCAGTTGCATCCCCGCCCCACATATACATAATTAAAAATGAAATAAATCTTTAAAAAAAAATCAGGGGCTGGAGAGATGGCTCAGTGGTTAAGAACACTGGCTGTTCTTGCAGAAGACCCGGGTTCGAATCCCAGCACCCACATGGCAGCTAATGACTGTCCGTAACTCCAGTTCCAGGGGATCCGACAGCCTCGTCTGTCCTCCGCTGGCATTGCACAACACAGGTGCACTTACCTACATGCAGACAGTACACACACATAAAAATAATAAATAAAATATTAAAAAAATAAACATCACATCAGGCCCTTTCTGACTGTAGTTTGGTGTCACTCAAATTTGGAAGGGCCTACAGAAGAGTCTCCTTCACCCTTACGCTAGGCTTGCTCTTCAGCCAGGCCTTTACATAGATTGTCCCCATTCTTTTTTTTTTGGCAGTTTTATAACTTTATTTGAGTCTCAGCAGTTAGTTCTCATCCACATTGACTGTTTGTAGATTTTTGAACGTGGTAACAGGGACATAGGTTACCAAAGTATAGAGCTGGTTTGGTGAATACTCAACCTCATTACGTTTTCTGGACAAACATACACGGATACGATATGGAACATTCCTTATTCCTTTGGCCCAGACAGCTTTGTTGAGCCTGATATCAATGCGCACATCTGGAGTTCCCATCTCCTTCATGGCGAATTTCCGGATTTCTTTGAGTGCCCAAGGGGCACGTTTCTTAAAACCCACTCCATGGATGCGCTTGTGAATGTTGATGGTGTATTCCCGGGTCACCACCTCGTTGATGGCGGAACGGCCCTTCTTCTTCTCGCCACCCTTCTTTGCGGGAGCCATTCCGCCAGGCCCAAGTTGGAAAGGAAGGGCGCAAACGATTGTGGGAGGGAAAGCTGCATTTGCAAATACAACTTCCTTGTCCCCATTCTTAGGAAGACAGTATGTGTCCATGGTTAGAACTTAGAAGCAGGAGGCTTCAGTTTCTTTCCACTTGGAAGACTGCTCAGTACAGAGTACCAAATTCTGTGATCTTCAACACGGGGGCTTACATAATTTCATGACTGATCTGCTGTTTTCACTTTCTAGGATACAACTGGAGCCAAATCAGTTTGGAAGGTGCCCCAGACTGATAAGGCCATGTCTGCTGGGATCAGAGGGAGGAAAAGAAGATGAGGAAAGCAGGGCAATTTCTTAGAAAGATCCATTCTATAGTGAAGGTGCCTTGAGAGCAGAGAAATACTCAAAGCTTCAGCAATTACTTCATCTTGAAGAATACTGGGGTGACAAGTCCCTATTTTAGTTCAATATAGTTATTTCTTATGGTAAGAATGGAGGCAGTGGGGCTGGAGAGATGGCTCGGTGGTTAAGAGCACTGGCTGTTCTTGCAGAAGACCTGGGTTTAAATCCCAGCATCCACATGGCTACTAACAACCCCCCATAACACCAGTTCCAGGGGATCTGACACCCTCTTCTGTTCTCTGTGGGTACTACATGACACAGGTGCACTTACATGTAGACAATACACTCCTACACATAAAAATAAAAAATAAAGTACATATGTAGTATGTGCTTTATATAACTCATGTTATTGAACCTTTGTGACTTCCTTATGAGAAAGCTACTATTATAAGCATTCTAATTTTAAAGATGAGGAAACTGAAGCTCAGAGATTCTATCATTTGTCCAAGGTCACAAATCTACTAATGGAGGCAGGATTCAAACCTTAGTGGTATAACTCTGGATCTTGGGCCTTTGAACACTATACTATAGTATCAAGTCAAATGCATAAAATGTGGTTCTTGAGTTCCCTAAAGTGACTCTCACATTAGGACTTAAAAATTCTGATTCCCTGTGCTGGGGATGGTCCTAGCAAGCATGAGGCCTTTGTTTTGATCTCCAGTGCTCCCTTGTTCTTTTTGAAAAACATTCAGATTCCTGAGGCTTAATGCAGACTTACTGAATCACTAAATACTAAACACCAGCATCCAGGAAGACAGCTCTGAGTTTTCCAACACTCTGGTTCTTGCTTCCTTTCGTACCCCATCTTGGCTGGGTGGTTTCTGACCCAGCTTGTCTAGAAGTCCTGGCTACATGTCCTCTTCAAAGAGATCTGCCTCCCCTCCCTACCTCTTGCAGCACTGGGGTTTGGCTCAGCTCCTCAGGGCCTCCTAACCCTCCCAGGGCGGACAGGACTCTGTGGAACTCATGCCAGTCCTGGGCATACTGTCTGCCAAGGGGAATGGCTGGCAGCTGCCACTTGGGACCATTCCTTCTGCTCTCACAGAAGGCCACAGCAGGTCCCTTGAATAAGGCAAGATGTACAAACCTGGTCGACTAACCTCTAGGCCTCAGTTTCTCTCTGGATAATAAGAGGAACAATCAGCTTTGTCTTTGCCCTTTCCTCCTCCCCAGGAAGTGTGCAGAACACAAAGTAGATTTTATCAGAAGGAATTCTGGACTCCTAAGAAAGGCATTCATGGGAGCAGCAACCCTAAGAAGCCATAATAATAGGAAAAATATGAGGTGTAATGAGAGGGCTGGGGAAGCTTCCCCATTGCTGTGAGGGCTTTCCTGCCTGGAGATAATATGGATTAATTACTGCATTTTTAGTGATGTGATTCATAAATCCTACTTTCTAGCAATCACCTCTGCCTGCAGAAGAGTGATGGCCTCTCTCCAGCACAGAGGACATGACCTTATCAGTCT